TACTGGTCCCATTGAAATACAAACAGTTCTAGGTTGAAATAATAGCATATTAGCAGTACCAGTCAACACTGACTAGCTAATTAGAGCAGTGAGTGGAAGGGTACCAGTGAAAACTGCAGGAGAAACAGGGTAGGCACTCAGCAAAGCATTGGCATCTGCTTAAATCCTGAAACAAGCTGATATCTTTCACCACTTAGAACATATTTGGAAATACAGAACACATCCGAGAGAAGACCTCCTGAATGAATGTACTTTAAGCCTCTTGCTATTTAGCGCTACACCTTAGAAATCAATAGAGCTAACATTTACAGATAGCTATTGGGTGTGCGCAAAGAAATGGTACTCACTGGGGAGTTAAAGTTGCAGTAATAAAGCAGTACGTTATGCACACAGTAGTGTGCTTTTTTTTGGAAAGATAACTAGTGAATGCTATAAGAATTGTAGCTATGGGCCATTAGGCGACAGAAAAGAAATGCGCTTTACGAACTCCTTCATTAGGCACGTTCCCATTTGTTCTTATGTCTCATCAGCCAGGAAAGTCACTTCACGTAAGGATAACAGTTTTCTAGGGAAAACATCTGCTAATCTGTATAATTTTTCTGTTGGGATCAAGGTAATAATTAAGTCTAACTCCACATGCTGCCCATGTTAGTTATATCTACTCCCCATCTGATCAAAGAACCTGATAAAGACCAGTAATAAAATTACATTGAGGATGCTTAATTGCTAAGGTGACAAATGAGGGATACAATCTTGCTGGCTCTCAAAAGTTAAATAGCTGATCAGAATATCGTGCAGGTGGAAGAATCCAGGGAGACCCCCAGGGTTCTGGCATTTTAGCTCTTTTCTAAAGAAAAAGAGTTCTATAGTGTTTGCCCCTGCAATTATATGTAATATAATAATAATGCTTCTGTGGTGTTGTTAAACACTGGAGCCATTTTTTACAAGCATCGATGTACTTTTCTCTCTGTGTCAGCCAATATTCAACTAATAACATGGTGCAGTGCCTATCAAACGCTGATGCAGGCAGTGCTGTCTGCTGGATGTGACACTGCATGAAAGCAAGGCCAATGCCACCTGTGTCTATTAAGCTCCTAGTCTTTTGGATTTGGGTTTGGTGTTTGTATTGAGAAAGGTGTTACCAAGAGTGTTTAATACCTATTTGGAGAGATTAAATCAGAAAACAAAGCATTGCACTGAAAAAAAAATGAACCTTGCTTTGGTTGATGATCAAATGGCTATTCCCTACAACTGGTGACCACTTTCCGCCTTTCTGCAGTGTTGGCTTCTGGTTTACGTGTTGTTTTTTCTTTATATAGCATGAGTAAAATCCTGTAAGTCTTACTGACTCCCATGAACATTGCATATACTTAGCAGTCCCCATCATCTGACCCCAAGTTAATAGAACAATTCAGCAACCTGCTGTGTTTGTCCTTTGTGGTAGCTGGTGGTGCTCTCTACTCAGAGCACCAAGTGTTTATCAGTCCATACATTGTTGATCCATTTCCTAATACCATTCTTATTAAAATTTAAAATATCCACCACAAACTGCCCAGCTGAGATAGCTGGGAACAGTTGTTCAAAGGCATAACTAATGATTTTTGTGCCCTGGACAGAAATGGAGGGTGGGGGGAGGAGGGTGACAGTGGGTGTTACTGCTGGGGCTGGGTCCTCATGCCCTGCCTGGCTGTGGCTGTTGGGGGGCAGGCTCCCCTGAGGTTGCCATTCTGGTGCCCCCTCTAAATTGACAACCAGGGTGAGTGATCTGCGCCCCCACCCCCACCCTCCCACCATGGTCACTTCTGCGGTTGTTCCTGGGCCATTCCTAAAACACTGCACGGCTGAATAATCACATTTGATTTTCTTAGAAAACAGTTTTGCATGAAAAGACATTCCTTTTTGATCACACTGTTTAATCTGTTTATTTAAGTTTGAAAATTAACCACCGAAGACACGTTCAACAATCTGCCTCTAGCAACACAGCCTCACCCTCTGCTTGTTGTTCTCCCTCTCCTCTTCACAGGATCAAAGCATTAAGTATCAGAGACCAGGCCAACGTTCCCACTTCAGGCACTCCAGAAGAGCAATAGAGCAATTACTTGTAACCCAATTTACCTCTTAAACCCTCTATTTCAATGAAGTGAAGACATTCCTCAGTTCATATGCCAAGCCAGCTGCTTTGCAGGATAGCTCTGTGGAAGAAGGTGCTTTGAGTTTCTCACTAGGCTATAAAACTGTCACCGTTTTGTGGAGACAGATTCTTTTCTCCATGGGACCTGTGTCACGTGTGTCAGCTGTTCAGTACATCGTGGACACCCTTTGTTCCAGACACCAAGACCACATGGCTTTGTGGGCACCTGCTACTCTACACACTGTGGCTGTATAGGCCTTGGGGACATCAGCTGTTTCTTGCACCTTTGACCCTCTCACAACTACTTCTCCCTTGGAGGAATCTCCAGCTGCTCTGCTTGGGTGACTCTTCATCCCTATTGTACTGGCAGCATCCACACACTCTTGTGCAGTGTTGTTGGGGCTTATTTAGCAGTTGCTGTGTTCCACCCCACACTGGTCCCTGCGTGTCTGTAACGGGGGCGGTGGGGTGAAGGCTATGTTGTAATTCAACAACAGCAGCATTTCATGTTGCTAGAACTTAAAATGCTTCATAGTGGTGGGAGATTCTTTCCACATATGAGGAAATTGAAGGCTTGTATGCTGGGGGAGCAGAGGAGCCTGTGCTTGAGGGCCTGAGCAGCACCCCTTGCACACACACACAGACATCCACAGGTGCACTTCAAGCATGCAAGGCTTCTCTGGGCTTGTCCTTAGCATTTGTTCTCAAGCCCTTGGTCTCCAGTAGTTGAGGGCAACAGCTGGAAATTAACCCGGAGAAGGTGGCGAGCCTCAGTGGTGAACTTCTGCATCTGGAGGGTACCAACAGACTTGAATGAGTGAGGCATGGGCATTGCAGGCTTAGTACCACCCTACCCATGCCAGGATATCTGCTGCTGTGGTACAGACAAGCTCTCAGGATAGAGGACTTAAGTGACTTGACCAGGATCTTGGAGAGAGTCAAAGTTGGTGCCAAAAGGAGAACCCAGGTCTTGTGATTTAAAAGTTCAGTGCCCACACCAGTAACATAACAACCACTGGCTAGAGCAGCACAGATGCAGGGGTGCAGAAGATCAGTAAAAAGCTGTTGCTTAATGATTTGTGGCCTCTGTGACACAGAACATTCATGCCGTGCCAGTAGGTGAGACCAGTAGCAGTAGCATCAATTCCATTAATGGCTGGTAATGCTAAAGTGCCAGTTCTGCACTCTCCATTGTGATGAATTAACAGGGGACGGGAATCTCAGACATAGCAGGCAAAGTACTTCCGAAGCATTTGGAATGAAAAGCACTCGAGACAGAGAGCCCAGTGTGATTAATTGGATGATTATCTCATTCCGGTTTTTCATACTATTATCATCATGCTCTCATTGCATATTTGCATGATGCGTTTCAATTTTTTGAGAAAAAAGGAACATGGCACTTTACTGACCCAGCACAGTAAACTGTACAAAACCCGCTGCTCTGCATCCTCCCCTGCATACGACTGCACCAATGCAAAAATGACCTAACACTGCTCTCTGCAGGACAGTCAGTGTCAACATACAGCCAGAAGTGATACAGAAGGTCCAGCTCCACCTCTTCAGCCGGGGGGCCCCAGTCTGGGTTAGGGGATGTGGCCAGGGCACCGCTGTGTCCCAGTGATCCCTGGTGGCTCTAAGGACCCTCTGGGGGAAACAAGCCCCTCAGATAAATTAGAGCAGCCCTCAGGGCAGTGAAACAAAATAGCCCCAGGATTGGAAGAAGGCAAAGGTGACTTTATTATTATTTACTGTTCTTATTTAACAGCAATGCTGCAGTAACACTTGCAGCCACAAACTCTCCCCTGGTGATCCCATCCTCCCCCAGAGCTGCCAAGTGCTCCAGACTTCAACACTTCGACAATATTTTCTCCAATGCCTGACGAAGGGTGGTTGTGCCTGAAAGCTTGCAATTAAAGAATTTTTTCTGCAAAAATCTTGTTGGTCTAATAAAAGATATCAGCTCTACTATGAGACCTGATTGCCAGACTTTAAGCACTTGTCTCCATCCAGTAGGAAAAAGAAAACCCCGAGTGCTTTCCCCAAGTGGATTTTACCCATAAAATGTTGCACATGGCTCTGTCTGAAGATTCATCATTTCTTCCAGTGAGGGAAAGCACCTCTCCTCTGGGTCTTGAAAGGAAGTTGGCAGCTTCACAATGATACTTATCATCCTCCTCATGCAAATTATTTCTCAGGAATAAGTTCACCTGCTGTCAGTTCCCAAACTGAACAGTCTGGCACTGAAGCTGCCTGGGCTCTGAGCTGCACTGTACCACACCCTGTGTTCAAGGAGACACTCTGGGATTTTCAGTCCAAGAAAAGGCACTTGAGCAAAATGGAACAGTATGGTGCATTGTACTGGCCACAGCTGCTGAGCCGCTTTGAGCACCCACCTGTGCAGCTCCTACTGAAGCACGATTCACTAAAAGCTCTGGCATTAGCTGGCTCGTGATGCTCTAAATAGGGCCCCTACGCAGTGTTTTCTGTAATCCTTTTTGCTCAGTTCAGAAAGCAAACATAGCTCTATGATCCTCCCCACTAGGACCAGTGCAGGTAAAGCCTTTGCAGAGTCAGGCAAATAAAGCCACTGACAAGAATAAGAGGGGTCTAGCCCGCGTCTGTTTTCAAAGTATTCAGCTCTACCGAGAAGGGTCAGGGCAGACGGGTAAGTCCCCGCTTTTAGCTGTTATATTTTTAAAAGGGCCTTTTTTCCCCAGAAAAAAGGGCAAGGGGAGAGGGGAGTGAGTTCAGGGAAAATTGTTTCGGTCACTTTTAAACAACCTGCGGACCCATCCGAAAGGGATCTGGCTGGTGCATAAGAACGGAGAAATGAAACTGGCCACTAAGAGTGGAACAGAGCAACCTGCATCTTGTTTGTTTTTCTTTTTTTGCTCGGTTCATTTCTGTGGCTCACTCAGTCATTAAAAGCTAAACAGTTTTGGAGGTGATTTCTGAGTGCTCTGCTCGGTGTTTTGCATTTGTTAAATTGCTTCTGTGGCTTTTGCCACTGGCATCCTCCCCAGGCACTGTCTCTTCTCTCCCAGATGCATACAATATTCTGTGTTTTCTGCTTCCACACCAGCCTTACTCCACAGCTTCAGCGTCAGATTCATCAAAACAGTTCGTCTCCTTCTAAGAAAGGGGTAGAAGACTGGGAGCCATGCAAACCTCTCCTCTGAAATAGGTTTGGACCAGACAGGCTTGATGTAGCCACTAAGGATCTCCTGCATTTAAGAATGGAAATGAAAAGGAGAGGGGACATTCCCATCCTGTAGTGCTGGTGCAGCCCTGCTCCTTCTCTGAGCAATCCCACGTCTTCTTCTCATAGCTACTTTTTCCTGTCAGCATCCTGCCTGGCACAGCTCAACCTGCAATAGCTGGCAGTGCCTGTTTCTAGCTATTCTGCCTGCCATCTGTTCATCCTTTTAATGGTTCTTAATGCACCTTTCCTTGATCTTAACATTTATCATTTGAGGGCTCTCCTAGACAAGCATGCCAATGGGGAAATGTATCATTTGTGGCTATTACCTAGTCCTCTAGTTTTACATCGCCTCAAAAAAGGATGATTCTTTTGCATTTGTTCTTTTCACCAAAAGACTCATAAATCATTTGGCAGAACTCACTCACCTCTTGCAAAACAACCACCTTTGACAGGAAAGCTGGCTGTGTCTTAACCTACAGCCATGCTGCTCTAGCTGTTTGGCACCAGGAGCAAAACAAATTCCCCCTCACCCTACACAAAAGCAAAGGTGATTATTTTTTATTGCAAACTGAGTGGAAAATTAGACCCAGCTGTGTCCAGCTGAAGCAGGTTCAGGCAGGGGCAAGGACATTATTGCCTGGATTGGAACTGGGGGCTAGCATCTCCTTTTGTAAGGAGGATCTTCACTAACTATGTACCCTCACAACCACACTTTCATGACTTGTACAACATGATGTAGTGTCACACTGGGCATTTATGTGTTCCATACAAGCTCCAAGAAAAATGTCCCCTACCCAAACATTGGCCAGTCACTCATCAAGCTATAGACCAAGCCCAGTTCTGCTTAGCTGGCAAGTGCTGTTGCACACGCAGGCCAAGCTCCTGACCGTACAAGTTGCAGGACAGCATTACTTTTCTCCCCTTTTAGTTGACTTATCCTCAGATCTATGAAACTTTGCTCCTCAGTAGAGGTGGAAGCCTGTTATCCCAATTCTTATATTTTGTACATTTGTAGATGCAGGAAAAGAGCCTTTGACTGTCTGCGTGTGCTCTATTCTTTTCATTACATATGCTTATACTGGTGATCTTGGTCACTCTAAGCAACTTGTTCCTACAGTTGTTTGCAGCTACTGTTCACTTTCAGATGCATGGGAAAATACTTAACTCATCTGGGCATGACCTTGCTTTCCACTGGGTGCGGTATCTCTTCTAGACAATATACAAGACGATCCCTGTTAAAGTCCTAATTTCCTAGACTGTTCCTCTAAATAGCTCCTTGGACCTGGGTCGGGCTGGCTCCAAAGGTTCCCATGCCCTTTCTACTTCTGACGGATGAAGGAGGTTCTGGTCCGCAAGCACGATTGCCAGACTGTCCAGGAATCCCATCCATGGCTTGTACCGCTTCACCCTGTTGACATGCAAACAAAAATACAATTATTTATAAATAACACAAAAATGTTTAGCTGGTTTTAGCTATTCATGTTTCTATTTGCAATGGTTGTTGATGAATCAACACTTCCCATCCTTCCCCTCCTAGTACGTTCCTTATCTAAGGACACGCTGCCCTTCCTGCTGGAAATCCTGCTTTGCCTTCAGAGACCTTCTCCTTGTCCTGGTCGTGGCTACTAATACTATATGGAACATTCTGGAAAATATGATTTGTGCCCTTTCCTAGGTCCCCTGTCATGATACTCTGGTAGTGGAGGTAATTTTCTCCTTTCTTGTTAATTGCTAAGAAAGTTTGCATTAAAAAGGTAGGTAAACTATTAAAAATTTACCTTCCAGCTTAGAGTCTATGGTGAGCTACGATAAGCCAGAACGATAAAGATAAACCATTTTATTTTGGGACCTGTAGTGTAGCATCATCTCAAATAGCATTGGGCACCCAGATAAGGCACGCTAAGGGACCTGGGACTCCTCTTGGGCTACCATCAGGTTGCTTAACTTCAAGCAAAAAATTGCATCCCGGGACCTCTTGTCTCCATGGATTGCCTTACATCCACAGATCAAGATGTAGCATTATTTGCGGGGACACACAAATGCCACTTCCATCTTAATCTTGGGGAAAACTATGGACTGTTTCATAAAATGCAAATTAGCCGTATTGCCAAAGTGGCCACTAATTGGGCAAATTTCAGGTTCCCCAGGAATCTGATGCTGACATAAAAATAACTGCTCCTGTTCCAGCATCACTTGTTTTGTGTGATTCCCTTGAAGAGGTTGTTGACACACAATGTGTTTTGACAGAATTTGGCAGAAAGTAGGGAAGGAAAAATCAAATTATTCAGAATAGCTTATCTTGCTTAGCTTCAGTCAAAGAATTTGTGCAAATGCCTGCACTGTTATTACCATAAATAGCTATCTGAAGGTAAGGCTTTTCTGAGAGGCTTCATTGGCACATTTTATATTTCCATCAAAAACCGTATCGTGTTGATTGTAGCATTATCGAAAGGTTCCCCTGGGAACTGTAGATAGACGGTAACTTGGTTTCATAAGCCAAACCTGATTACAAAAAAGTAAATGTGATGCAGTCAAAACGGAGAGTAAACACACAGGTGATTTTCAGGCCTACAGCAAAGGGCATAGCTCTGATGTAATGACCTAGAAGTTGCAGTTGGCTCTAGCACGCATCTGTCATCAGGAAAATCCCAAGTACTTTGCAATACCACAAATAAGAAAAGGTGCCTCTGTAAGGGCCTTGTTACACACTGCACTTTGAGCTTCTCAAATGTTGCTCGGTGTTAGTGCTAGCTCGAGCTTGGAGCTGTCACAACTTAAGGCTAAAAGCCTTCTCTGACTGTCTCCCACCTGCACAGCTGTGACTTGCCACTGAAGGGCTGGCGGGCAGGAGCAGGACTAGGAGCTACAGCCGAGTTGCCCCTGCAGGGCTGCTGAGCCATGACAGGTTTCTATCCCTGCTCCAGTGGCGGGGGTGAGAGAGGGGTTGGGGTGTGGGGGTGGGAACATGAGCTGGGAGGTGCATAGTTAACAGGATGGGGGTGGGTAACGAATGGGAGGTGGAAAGGATATGGCGGTGGGGGAAGGGGCGGTGAAATGAACCAAGTAGGCACTGAAGGATAAAATAAAAAGAAGTAAAAGAATGTAAAAAGAAATAAAGAGGAAGTAAGTTAAAGAAGGTCTCGTGGTTATATAAAAGTCTGAAGTTTCCAGTGAAATACAGCAGCCAATTCCTTTGCCTATAGTGATCTGTAAAACCATTATAATGTGTTTTGTTGTAGTTATCAGGAATATATGTTCAGTTTGCTTTTATGAAGAAGACATCAGGTGAGTATCCAACTCGAGTACTGGTTCCGTTTGTCCTTCCTTCTTTGGGCACAGCTTCATCTTGTGTCCTGTCTGAGAGTGTTAATGGCAGGTATGTAGCAGAATTTGCAGATTCATTAGAGTCTGACAGGGCCATGACGTGAGCACGTCTGCTATGGCTATTGCAGAAGTTGGAACTGGAACTGAAAACTATTACATGTTCAAGGGGAAAGGGACAGCAATAAAATGGCAGCTTCTATCACAAAAGGCTATCAGTGCCTTTTAAGGCTAAGGTACTATTCGCAGTCCATTTCTTTTCAGTAATAATTTATTAGTAAAGATGAACAGAAATGACTTACACATTATTGGATGCTATGTTCTACAGTTCTGTAAAGAAGGGTAAAAACGACACACTCCAATTTACAATTGGTTTTAGTACAAGTGCTTTAATGTCTAGTGCTTATTACTGCATGTGTTAAAATCCTTTATATATTTAACTCATGCCTATTTATCTCATACAGAATATTCATTTAAGAACCCCAGAAGTAATCTACTCAAGATAATACATGTTTCTGGCATACAAAATCTCCTCACAGATGTTAACCAAAAAAGAAAACCCACTGAGAATCAGCAGCTGAATTTGGCCTCTGAGGCACACTTGCTTTACGAGTGTGTCTCTAAACAGGTGTTTACACGGATTAGACCTATACCAGTACTTGTGCGTCTTCATTTTGCTCGTTTTGGGTTGGTGCAAATAATTCTACACAATGTCTTTTCTTCACCGCTGTCTCATTGTTCGATTAGCCTTCTTCCTGTGATCTCAGAAACACCACACTTCGAAAGACCATCCCTACATCCCTACAAACATTATGGTGGAAGTGACCTCAGAGGGCATCGGCTTCAAGCCCTGGCTCAAAGCAGGATCACACCTGTGTAAATCATCTCATCCAAGGGTTTCTGTAAACTGCTTTTAAAAACTTACCATGCAGCTTCTAAAACCTCTCAGGTAATGATTGATACTTCACATCGCCATAGTAAACTTGGTCTGTAGATATGCAAGCACTACTCCTTTAAGCTTTAGAAGCCTCCTGTGAGGCAGGCAAACACAACACCAAACATTAATGCTCTAGCCTGCCATAAGTACAGCGGGGGATCACGGCAGTCTGACACCGACAAAGCCATGTGACACAGGCCCTGTTCCTGCCCTCTTGAAGTCCATCTGGATTGGGTCAGCCGCTCACACAGGACCAAAGGCAAGGTGGACTGTCATCCTAGAGAGGCATGCCAGCATGCTGTACATTTGCTGGTTTGTGCTGACTCTATAAATATCTCGTTATCAAACTTGCCAACTCACACACCACACCCTGCCTCTGGCCAAAACAACCTGCTTCACAAAGGCACTGCTTAACCCTCAGCTTCAGAATATCTGATAATCAGCAGTAGCACAATGCATCAAGCCAGCTGCCAGGGGCCTTCCCTTTACACAAGACAAATAAGCGAAGAATTCTCCATAAGGGCAAACTTGACCCCTGTATACTCTGGCTGATATATACACCAGGTCCTTCCCTACAGCAACCATGTGGGCTCCTGCAAGATAACTGCCCTTTGGCACACTAGTTTTGTCTTGTAACAAAGCCCATGAGTAACATATAATTACACCTTTACTCAGGCCCTGCCTTCTCCCTGCTCCACCTTTTCCAGAGTTTGCAGTGACTAGTACACAGCCTCTGCTCACTCCCTATCCCGCTTCTTTGTGCTTCTTATTTATTGAGTGCTTGCCCAACTAGAGGGCAAAGAGCTCTCCTTTCCAAGAACTGTTTATGTAGTTTCGTGTAATGCCCAAGACAAGTGCTAGGGATAGAGATGAGACAAAATACTTTTCCTCTGTCTTTTCCCCTCCAGGTTTGCCTTGTGTACTATGACACTGCATAATCTGTCACCATTTTCCATGTAGCGAGGGTTTGGCTGCTCCCCCTGCTGTGTGGGGTATTCACAAGATAGCAGGAGAGAGAATGGAGACAAATGCGGTTGTCAGAATACAGACATCGGCAGGGACAGGGGGGTGCTCAGGCACTGTACCTCGGGGGTCATACCAGAAACTACCCAGCTTCAGCCCTGGCACTGCAGACACTAGTTTTTGAGTAGGCTCCAGTTCTCAGGTCTCGCTATGTCCTGCTCAGCGCTGGAAATGAAGCTGGGGGCAAGGTATTTTTATTTGCACAGCTCATTGATTCTGAGGTTGGGAAACACCTTAGCATAAGTTTCAGCACCTGGATATGGTTATCAAAGATATTTCTGCATGATATCTCTATGAGGACCTGCCTTCTTCCCCTGGGAAGACCCACTACTCTCCTGTCAGGAGGAGAGGCCACAGAGCTGCTCTCCAAGGATTTCTCCTGCACAGGAGGGAGTCCTAGCTAGCCAGCTTTTCCAGGTTTTGGTCTAGAGCAGGGGCAGGCAATTATTTTGGGCAGAGGGCTGCTTACTGAGTTTTGGCAAGCCATTGAGGGCCGCATGACAGGCAGCCCAGGGCAGATAAATATTAATTTTCTAAATTTTTTTAGGGGCCCTGTGGGCTGGATTGAATGGCCTGGCGGGCCACATCCAGCCCCTGGGGCCGCATTTTGCCCACCCCTGGTCTAGACAGTGGGACAAGGGAGCCATTATCTGATACAGAAGCAGGCCCCTAATCTTCCCACCCTATCTGTTCTGACTATACATTGGTCTTTGAGGTGGCTTTAGCAGGGATTTACAAGTTTAGGCACTGTAAGATCCTGTGACAATACTGCTCTGGTATGTCTTTCCAGGAGAAATCAGGTCTGCACATCATCTGACCATATGTTGCACGCTTATTTTGCATTAAGACAATTACCAAGTTCAAAACCTAGGGTTTCATACCCTATATAAAATTAATTCTCCCATCCCATCCCATTCCATCCTATTCATCATCAGTGCCTTCAGAGTGAAAGAAAAAAAATCATTTCATGGGACTCTTGTTTTTTGTTTGGGTTTTTTTGTTTTGTTTTTTGGAGGGGGTGGGGATTGGAGGGAAGGAAGACAGAGGATTCCTAGCTGTGTCCCCCAGATCAAATGCCTTCCTGTCCACCTCTCCATTTGTTTAGCTCCCAGAAGGCTGAGGTTTTT